AATATTAAGTCGAAATACTTTAGGCGTTAATTTGCTTATCTTCATTTGCTTTGCGTGCTTTTCAAGGTTATTTTTTACGTAGGATTAAAATATGCAGAATTGTAATAAGTTAAATTAATGAAAAGTTACAACAACGAAAGACGCTAACAGTAATGTAGGTCAAAAAATTATTTAAAAAAGATTCGGATTTGATTTAAGTACCTTTTAAAATCTTTACATACAAAGTTTTATCGCGGAAAAATATTTTTTGGATTGATTCAGCCAGAGAAATTTTGTTAATATATTTTACTTTGTGTGTTCTTGTTAAAGATTTTTAACTACTATTTATCCAAATTAAATTTTGTTACAACCGTTGTAAAGCTTCATATAGCACTCAACCCTTTGTGTGGTCTTTATTTATTATGAAATATAATGGCATTGTTATAGCAATTTTGACTTCTGGAATCCTGTAAACAATAGATCCTATCCAAACAATTTTAACCATCCAAGAACACCTTGAGGTTATCAAAGACTGCTGTAAAAAGGGAGTGACAAGGCCATTTTCATGCACATTTTCACTGAAAAAAAAAACTGCCCTTCTTTGTACATCAACAACTATAACTTAACAGAAGACTAACTAAAATCCACACATAACACTTAAGAGGCAACAGATTAACAGAAGACTTAAGAAGAAGAATTTTGGGAGATTTGTTTCAGTCAAAACTTAACTAACTCAAGACAAGGCATTACCACCACTTTGGACAAATGGAGTGAAATTGTGGGGTTCACCCAAGCCATCAAATATGCAGCGGATCCAATCCGTTTAATGAACATACCTGGCAAATTGTCAAATCCATACTACTTAATTTCTTTTCAAATTTCTTTTGCCAACGAACTGATCCGATTGCTCTTCCAAAATTCCACACCATCTCAATCCATCCAAACCCAACTTCCCTTGTCTTCTCCACACTTTTGTGTCTAAGAACCCTCAACTTCACCTTAAACTATTATGGCCTGGAGACTTCATCGCCCCTTAATCCCTCATATTGAGTGCCGTAGTTAGTTCGTTTCTTTAACATGTTTTCTCCAGGTTCAGTGCTGGCTGGCCGTCGTGTCATTTTTATGATAGGGGAAAAATTGTGTGTTTTTGGTATGTACAGGCTACAAATATTTGTTTTGTTGTTGTACTGAAAAAGGTTTAAGCAAAATTAATCCAAAATTTAATACATTTTATGACAGAAGATAATTATTGACAAAATTTATGGATGATTTTTATAATGCTAATCGCAACACTTAATTTATTCATTTAATTAATAAAGTTTTAATTACAAAATCATTATTTTTGTGAAACAGCCATTTTTCCAAGTCGCTTTGCGGTAATTATCAGCCCAATCAAAATGCTTCGTAGTTATACATGTTTAATTAACCAACAACGCTCCAATTAAAAATTTATTTCGTTGTTTGAGAACAAGAACGGTTAAATTTATGACCTCAAAGCGTTATGTTGAAAATGTAGTAATGTAGTAATCAACACACTTTGATCAATAAATAAACATATACAATCATTATATTTCTCTAAATTGTTAACCATGACTGAAGTGTGCACCGTAAAATCTGATTTATTGATGATGCACGATATTTTATAAAATATTTCATAGCTTGTAGAAATTTGCTTTCTCTTAAGTGACTTTTATCTGACGCAAATTATTCTGCTTAGCCATTCTATGTATTAAATACCCAAAGCAATTTCTATCATTTCCAAACAATCCAAATTCCAATGGGAAGCGGAAATGAATCACAGGATCTAAAAATAAAACATCCCTTACTATATTTAATGACAAGCCGAGATGTCCTGACAAAAAATTTTTACAGCATAAAACTAAAACTTTAGAAGTTCTATGTTTTAGTTTTAATTGTTGTCTGTTGTTCCTCATTTCACCTATCATAAACTTTCACTCTTTCACTGTCTGCCATGATTTCTCTTACTCACTCGCTCACACACACTCACTCTCTCGTTTATTTTTCTATCACGCTGTTCTGCTCTCAATCTACAATATTCGTGATGATTTATAGATATATAAAACATGATTTTCTAGTCACTAACGTTCTTCGTGTTAAAAACCGAACCAACGATCAACCTATTACAAAAAGTTTTTGCATTATAACATTCTTATAATAATAAGAAGACTTTGGGAGATTCGTCGGTTCTTAGTGATTAGGAGAAATCTTTATCTCTATCCTTAGTAAAACCACCCTCCCCTCCATCATTAGGGCGTCTCCGATAAAATTCTTAATTGTCTTTTCTTAGCGAGATTAAAACTGGAAAAAGTAATTGGATTTTTATTTAACACGGCAATAAGGGGGATTAAAACGAGGGAGAGAAAGGCGCTACATAAACAAGCAGGGTGCGCCCCTCCCTTCTTTTGTGGGGGCGGAAGAAATTGGAATACATAAGTTGTACACAAAGATAATTTAGAGTATTGTGAGTTTGTTTGCTTTTTATTGTGCGATATGCTTTATACCCTTCTATTTAGTGAACGCTGATGGGTCAGTTAACAATGTAAACAAATTGTAGTAAGGAAAACCAACGTTTACAAGTAGTTTTTTATTATAACGGTTGTGTTATGAACATACGGTCATTAGATTAAACTCATTGAAACCTCGATACGTTTTTTCATTTTAGCATCCCACATACATTATTGTAGAATAACCAATTTTTTAATACAACCCCTCAGCTTTTTTTAACTTTCAACTTTCATTTTGCTATAGGGTTGATGCTTGGAAACATATAGATTGTTTTAAGCCCCGTCAGTGTTTTATACACTCCTCTTTTTACGCATGTATTTCTGTGCTTACATTATATCGCTTGCAGTACATCAAGGAAAGCGGTAGATTCGTATCGGATTGTTTTTCCAACGTACTAAGCATAATAGAGAGGGAAGGGAAAATGAAAAATAAGCATGGATGGGGTATAATGGTAGATTTTAAATGAAAATCACCGTTTGCACAGAAGGGGAGGTTCAGTAAACTTATTTGAACCATATAACAAACAAACAAAAATCTAATTACGTGTTGGCTGTAGATGAAAACTGAGGACAGTTACGATTTACTAATTTACTTCCTGGTCTTTATAAATACATTTACGGACACTTAAAAATACACAAGAACACAAAATAATTTAGTCGCTCATGGAGAATTTAATTATTAATTAAGGATTTCATTGAAACTCTTTTTGGTACCAAGTGGTCTTGCCAACCATTTTTGAAAATATTATTTTCTGATTTTTTGAGCATATATTTCAAAGTTTTGTATCCGTTTATTTGTTATTGTAGAATATCAAAATAATGAACGGGATAGTGTGAAATGAGAATGTAATAAACATGGTGTCCCGTGAACAGACGTCAATACTACAGAACGTTATCCTAAATTCACTAATTTCGTGGTCCGCCAATTAATACATTACAATTAAATAAGGTTTCTAGTTGAGATAAAAAAAGCTAATGGCACGAGCGGGATTCGAACCCACGATCTTCGGCTAGATACGTCGCTGCTCTACCACTTGAGCTATCGTGGGTTCGAATCCCGCTCGTGCCATTAACTTTTTTTCATCTCAACTAAAAACCTTATTTAGTTATCCTAAATGTCAAATTGGAATAAAACGGCTCTATTGTCCAAAGTCTTATTCTCAATTGTATTCGAGATATTTCACTTTTCAGATTAGGTTTCATTCACGACTCCATCCCGTATATCATAAAACGTTAACCATACTGAAAATTGTACTTCGACAATGTCAATTGCGTTAAAAAATCGAGGGGATTTATTTATTTATTTATTGTAACTTTGAACAAATAAACTGCAAAAGCAATTACAAGATATAGTATATTTGTTATAT